TTAGCACCATACCATTTGGCCACCACTGTCTCCCATGCCTTGCCCCCCATGAATCTCTCTACCCCCCCCAAATAAATCTCTAGGCCCCAACCCCACCCCAGACTTGTCTGTTCTGGAAATTTCATATACATGGAACCATACAATGGGTGGACATTTGTGCCTGCTTTCTTTCATTTAGTTAAATGATTTCAGGGTTTATCCACATTAGAGTAGGAATCAGTACTTCATTTCTTTTATTACCAAATAATGTTTTTGTTTATGAGTATGCAACATTTTATTTACCCATTCACCAGTTGGTGAGCAATTGAATTGTTTCCACTTATTATATCCTTTTTAAAAGCTTTACTTTTTACAAATGGAACTTCAAAATCAAATAATTAATAATAATRTTTAATAAATAATATTATATAATAATTAATAATATATTATATACAAGTAAATATAAATCATATAAAATATATAATAATTATACAAATTATAATACATTATATAAATAACATTATACATAATAAATATAAATAATATATTATATATAATAATAAATAATATTTTAGTCCACCACCAATGCTCCCATTTTTGGTGTATAGTTTGATGAGTTTTAGGAAATGTGTACATTTACAGAGTCATAAGAACAATCACGTTTGAAAATGCTTTCATCACCTTAAAAAATTTCCTCTTGCTTCTTTCCAAACTATCCTGGATCTATCAAACCAGAAACTGCTCTCACCTCTGGCCTAATGATCATTTTGTGTCACTATAGTTTTGATTTTCTGAAAATTCTCAGTAAATACACTTATGTAATACATAGTCTTTGTGTCTTTCTCTTTGCTTTTTGCATGATGTTTCAGAGATTSATCCATGTTGTTGTATGTATTCATAGTTCATTTCTTTCTGTTACTGTAAGGATACAAAACTTCACTTATTTATGCACCTGTTGGATGAAATTTGAATTTTTCTAATTTTGGGCTATTATAAATGATGTTGCCATGAGAGTTTGTGTATAAATCTGTCTGTGGGACACATGTTTTCATTTCCCTTGGTACACACCTAGAAATGGAATTCCTGAGTTGTATGTGATAAGTGTAAGTTAATTTTTTAAGAATGTGCCAAACTGTTTTCCAAATTATTTATACCATTTTACATGCCTAGGTACAGCCTATGGAGGTTCTAATTTTCCATATCCTTCCCAATGCTTGACTTTGTTAGTTCTTTTGTATTTAGCTATTCTGATGAGAATTGAGTTTTTTATTATTGAGGCATAAATACCCAATCCTACTGATATGTGTATAATATGTAAAATATATTAAATACACATATAATATTTTATCTCAGTATATGGGCTTACTTTTTCATTTTATTAATGGCAATATTTAAATAGGAAGTTTATAACTTAGATGAAGGCTAATTAGTGATTTTTTGCTTATGATTCACATTATTTGGCTATATCCATAAGTCTAAGATTGCAAAAATTTTTGTCTTCCTTTCCTAAAATTTTTGTCTTCCTTCTTTTCCTATGAACTCTCAAATTAACTCTTTTGAGTTAATTTTTGTGAATATCATGAGGTGGAAAGTTGAGAAGTTCACTCTTGTTTGCTCACAGATATCCAAAATATTCTAATTTAGTTTAGTGAAGACTGTCCTCTTACCCACTGCATTACCTTGGGTTGAATTGCCTTCAACTTTGTCAAAATTCTATTGACCCTATTTTGGATGTCTACTTCTGGAATCTGCATTCTTGCCTGAGTATGTGAGAATAATGTCTGTCATTTAGCCATTGACATATTACTTACTGTAGTGTATTGAACATCTTGAAATTAGGTCTTAGAAGTCTTTCAACTTTATTTTTCTATTTCATAATAATTGTATTGGCTATTGTAAGTTGTTTGCATCTTATGTAAATTTATAGTCAGATTTTCAATCTGTTCAAACAAATATGTGAACGTTTTGGTTGATATTGTATTAAATCTGTACTGAGCATTATAGTAGCTATAAGCCCATATGACTATCTAAATACAAATTTTAGATTTTAAAATAAAAAATTAATTTCTTTGTTGTACTAGCTATTAGTTGCCTGTGGTTTGTAGCTATCATATTGGCTCAGAATTTTAAACACTGTTGAGCAATGGGAAAAATGGGTTAAACTACCATCTTAATGATATTGAATGTAATAGTGACAGTATATCTCTCCCTTTGAATAGAATGAAATTATTGGTTTCATTATTTTTTTCTGTAGTGATATGTTTCCTATTTCATTTATTTTTGCTGCACTCTTAATTATTATTTGTTACTTAATACTTCATGTCTGATTTGCCTTTCTTTTCATGTCTAAGATAGTTACTTTGGTTATTGATTTTAAGCATTTATTGCTTATAAGATAAGCATCTAAAGCAATTTTCTTCTAACTACTGCTTAGCTATATTCCATACATTTTAATGTTTTATTTTTACCTAGTTCAATCCATATTTTTTTCTAATTTTCTAATTTTTTATTTCATAAATTTGGTAGAATTATTATATTTAATTTATGTGGATATTTCACATATTCTTTGGTATGTCTATTTTAATTATGGCCTTTTTTATTATCCAAAATATATTATAGGCTGGGTATCATGGTGCACACATGTGATCCTAGCTACCTAGGAGACTGAGGCAGGAGATCACAAGTTCCAGACCAACCTGGGCAACTTAGCAAGACCCTGTTTCAAAATAAAAAATAAAAAGGGCTTGTGTTACAGTTTAGAGTTTTTTAGCATGCACTAAGATCTAAGTTTAATTTCTAGTACTGCAAAAACCAAAAAAAAATTATAAATTAGGTTCATTATTTATAGTTTTCATAATTTTAATTATATGTGTCAGAGAACATAACTTCAAATGGTTTATTCCTTTTAAATTTTTCAAAACTTCATTGATGTCCTTGTGAATATTCCATATACAATTGAAAATAGTGTGTACTTCACTATGTTGAAGTGAAGTATTTTATATATGTCAATTAGGTGAAGTTAATTGAAGGGAGTTGTTTGGGTCTTTTGTATCCTTATCTATTTTCTATTTATTTGTTTTATATGTTTTACTCAGGGAGAGGAATTTTGAACTCTCCAAGTATGATTATTGAATCATTTATTCTTATTTCAGTTCTGTCAGATTTTCCTTCATGCATTTTTGTTCTATGTTTTATGTGCATATACATTTATTCTTTTAAAATGTATTTACCTGATTTATATCCTCTTAAAAATATACTTGTTCTCCGTAGCATTTCTTATGTTAAAAATCTATTTTGTCAGGGCTGGGGTTGTGGCTCAGCAGTGGAGCGCTCACCTAGCATGTGCAAAGCCCTGGGTCCGATCCTCAGCACCACATAAAAATAAATAAATAAATAAAGATTTTAAAAAATCTATTTTGTCTTATACTAATATAGCCACTTGAATTAATATGCACGTGGTGTAGCTTGTTCAACTGATTTTGTCTTTGGCTTTCTAGTTCCTTTTTTGTTAATTGTATATTTCTCTTTTTAACCCAATCTGATGATTTCTGTCCATAATTATAGAGTGTTTATCCCATTCATGCTTAATGAAATTATTGATACAGTARGGTTTTAGGTCTGTTTTATTTGTTATATCTCATTTTTTTTAAAAAAAAGATCTCTTCTTTTTTATTTAAATAGCTGTATTTTATTCATTTATTTTTATGTGGTGCTGAGGATTGAACCTAGGGCCTCACACATGCTAGGCAAGCACTCTACCACTGAGCAACAGCCCCAGCCCTTAATCTCTTCTTTATGGTTTCCTTTTATTGTTAACCAATCCTGATTATTACACTATGTAATTCCTCTACTGACTTCTTAGCTATATTTTTGAAATTTTCTTTCTGTAGTGTTTTCACTAGAGATTACAATATGAACATTTTACCTTATCATGATTTAATTCAAGTGAGTATTTGCTGCAGCCCGGCTGGCTGGGCAAAATAACCTGGGGGAGGGGGGGCATTACACGAACAACTTGTGTAGATTGATACAGCAGGAGTGGGAGCCGTTTATTGTAGGACCAGAGGGGTATATATACATTCCACACAGATTATCTTAATTAACATAAACTAGATACAGCAGTCAACCAATAAGGAATCTCCACACTTAATGGCTCGCTGGCGTTACTTCATAAACCACTCCCTCTGGCAAAATGCCAGGCGCCTTCTAGACTTGTTTACAGACTCTAACATTTGCCAGGCACCATCCTGACTTATTTATACACCTTAACAAGTATTCGTTTAATTCCAGTGAAATAGCAATTTTGTRTCCATATAGCCCCATTTGTTCCTCACTCTGAATAACTGTAGTGAGTCTGAAATTTTATCCTACTTGCAAGTTAGCCTGCCATGGTTTAATGGATTCTGAAAGAGGACATGAGGTTTCTGGGTCAAAAATAAAGGGTAATTTATTACAGCAATAGCATTAGCCAAAGCATCATCATATGTACCAATTCCTCTAGCCCTAATGCCCATAGGTTAAACCAACAAGGGACAATACAAATCACTAGAACAACATTTATGAATTGTGCCAACAGGATAGTGGGCTGTTCTGAAATGTAAACRTTTCATGAACAAATAAGTCTGAGAAATTGTACACCTATACTTACCTTATGTATTTCTACAGTATTCATTGGTATATTAAAAACTCTAAAAGCCCTACAAAAAAAGAGAGATGGTTAATTTTCTTAGAAGCAACAGTTCCAAAATTATTTGACCACAGAATCATCTTTATCATAATGACTCGCAGAAGCAGTGTTCTACATTACTCACTTGGGGAAATACTGGTCTAGCGAACAGTAATTAAATGTTAACCATTTATTTTTAAATCATCATTCAGAAATATAGTTTGTATGGAACAAAAGTAGAATGAGTGTTATCCTTCCCAATTTTCCTAAAACCACTTGAAGTATTTGTGTTTTGTAAATGTTTGAAGTCAAATATACAAATATATTTATCTGTAAATTCTGTTTCCATTTGTAGGGGATGTGATCAACCTTGGTGACAGACAACTCACTGTTATGCACATGCCAGGTCACTCCAGAGGCAGTATTTGCTTACATGACAAAGACCGAAAGATTCTCTTCAGTGGCGATGTTGTATATGATGGATCACTGATTGACTGGCTCCCATACAGCAGGATAAGTGACTATGTTGGAACTTGTGAACGTCTAATAGAATTAGTGGACAGAGGTCTGGTTGAGAAAGTGCTCCCTGGGCATTTCAATACCTTTGGTGCTGAAAGGCTTTTTCGATTGGCTTCTAACTATATTTCAAAAGCTGGTATATGTCACAAAGTATCTACTTTTGCCCTGAGATCTCTTGCAAGTTTAGCCCTGCGTGTAACAAATTCAAGGACCTCACCCTAGTATCTATGCCTATAATCTATTTTGATTAACTGTATACATTAATCCAATTCATTTTGTGCTGTTTAAAATGGTTAATAGTGTGCATTTCAAAAGTGCTTTTATACCACTGTTGTATATTAGAGGGGGAAAAAAGATTAAAAATGAATAAGCCAAAAAGAGGAAAGTTTTAGTTTATTTTTTTTTCTTCCAAGTAAGTTACCACTTAAATAAGCTTATAATTTTCCAAAGGTATCATAATTTGTGCTCTAAAAATGCCATAAGTATATAAAAGGACATGAAGAGGCATTTTGCAACACCAGAAAGAACTTTCCTTGCCCATTTTTCTTATTTTATTYCCTAGGTGACCGTGAAAAAAGGCATCTAAAGCCTTGTGTTTACATGGTAAACTTGATTTTTTTGGTATATTATTTTAAGATAAAGGTTTTGGGGTTCAAAATGCATTAGAATTCAATATAAACATGTAAAATCTAATCMTTTAGAATGACAGCCAAAACATCCCATGGTTATTGTCTAGAATTATATAAGCCTCCTTCATTTTATTTATTCTGTTTGTAATTGTAGCATACATTATATGCTATATAATTTAACTTATGAAAAATTATAATGAATTTTGTTTTATTGCAAAGCTTTAAATATCAATTGCAGAGTACTTCAGTAAAAAAGCTACTATTTATTGTTGTCTGTTATTATGCAAGTAATATTTTAAATCATAAAAGTGAAAATCAAATGTGTRTAATCTAATAACAAATTGTCAGATTTCTTAGAAGGACACTGTCAGGAAAATTTGAAAATACACATATTGAGAATAATTTTTATTATATCCTATTTTATTACTAACAGCTATTATAAACAAAAATTTTCTTCTTAAATAGCAACTTCAGTATTGTCATATTTTACAGTATCAAAACAACTACAGAGATCTATTACATCCTGATATAAACTATTCTTTTACCTAACATAATGTGTCTGTACCACAGAAGGATTTTCAAATTAATTGCAAAATGTCCATTAGATATTGATCTAGAATGAATGGCCTTTTTTATCCTGATTCACAACACCTATTCCTGTTCAGTATTGTTTGTCTTGAATGAAAACAAGTCTACATTCCTTAGTTATAGGAAAGGTTAAACCACTATTCAGTAAAATATTTTGATTTGGTGCTCTTAATAATCATTTATTAAAAAGCATTTTGGAGTATTAAAGGTTTTTTAAACATTTTTTCCACTAAATTTTTATTTTATTATTGACATGTCTAAAACCAAGCTGAAGATGCTTTGGAAATCAGATCTTTTTAATATTAGGAAGGTTTTTTTTCTGTCAAATTATGTAACTTTTTCTACCCTGCAGACACCCAGAATTTTTAGCTTTTTATTCACACACACACACATACACACACACACACACACACACACACACACACACACACACATACACACAAATAAACAGAGTCATGTACATACATTCACAGCACCATGGAAGCTTCAAAAGTCAGAGACATTATAGCTGGAAATTGAAGGCACATGAAACATGAATAATAATATATACAAGTTGATGTTTATATAAATTKCATATAAACATAAGGGACTTTATAAAGGGAGGGATGTGAAGTTTAGTTAGGAAAATTTCCTATTAGGGTTTTTGAGTCAAATTTGGAAGGAAGATTTGTCAGGTGGTTAGGGTAGGAAATAAAMAGATACAAGAATAGGGATATAAGCATTGCTATATAGAATAGTCTATGCTTGTGACAATATAAATTTCCTTTTCAGGAATCCCATTTCTCCCAAGCACCATGTATTTAACATTAGAAAAAGAGATTTGTGATTGTGTATAAGAGTCATCCTTAATGCAGATGAGCTGAACTGTCAAATGCCACCAAATGAACCAGAGAGTCAGATAGAGACCAAGATTGGTTCAAATATAGAATGTCATGAGAATTCTCTGTGATGGTCGTTCAAAGCAGTAGGTCTGTTTCAACTGACAGTACAACACCAAGAATATAGATTTGGTTCAGGGCAACTACAATCACTTAATAAGCCTTAAATATAGCCATTATTTTTATATCAGTAGCACAAAAGAAAACCAAGAGTCCTTAACCATTGACCATTTTTATCTTATTTTAGGAATTTTTTAAAAAATCAGAGTACAGTAGGCATTGAGTTTTATTAGAAAATATTTACTTTTCCCGAAGGATTTCCTTATTTACTAAAAGTGTTATTTTTCAGAACATATTAATATGATTTTTTAAGTTCCCAATTTTTTTWWAAAAAATTTCAAACTGTAATACAACATAAGACTGTGGTATTTTGCTGTTGCTACAGTGTGAATAAAATGGAAATACATTAGGGAAAGGATATCATTCATTGATTATCCATGCTATCCATTTAAAATATGCATTATTTAATTTAATCCTGGTTYTAGCACCAAGAGGTAATTGACCAGCTTCACACAACAGGACAAAGCTGGTAATTGAACACAGGTCTGTCTACCCCTGAACTGTGTTCTTTCTTTTTACCTGCACAACACATAAAATTGGCAGTATATTTTTACTTTTCCAAGATGCCACATGTGCCAAGAATAAATCAGATGATATTGAAGCATAATAACATATTTAAAAAAAGCTTTTAAAATAAGATATTTTCACCCTGACAGTGACCCTTATTGTAATTTATGATTTGGGGAAATATTAGAATGTAAGTATGATTCAAAGTTGTTAAATGTAAGACATTTAGAAATAATTTTTATTTATATTGTTAATAATCTTAGGATATTCATTTTTCTTATATGATGTCTCTTTCTGAGAATCTTAAATGAAAACCACGTGTGTTATCCTGATGTAGTTGAATAAATAATTATATGTATTGTTCTTACATGGATAGTAATATGAATGTACTGCACAAATTGTCSTCTTATAATTTTCAGATAAATGTAAGTAAACATTTGTGTGATAAATATTAAAGTGAACATTTATTTCAATCTACAATTGGTATTTTTATGACATTAACAAATTTCTATTTCATTTCTTATAAAGGTATTTCTTATATGAAATGCAATTTTGAAAATTTCTTGATGAATGAAGAGTCAAAGTCTGGGAATGAATAGACAACCTGGAAACAGAAAAGTACTTATATAAACCTTTATTTCTTAATTAAATAAGGCATTTCAAATCAATGGATAAAAGATGAACTATATAGTAAATACTACCATTGTTGATGTGAAAAAAGGCTCTTACCATCATAAACATAAATTCCTGATGGATTAAAGTTCTAAATGTGAAAAACAGAATTACATATGTATTAAAAAACCTCAAATTATGTATCCTGTAGGGTGGGAAATGTCTGCTTTATATAGAAACAAAAACAATTACAACATTTAAAATGCTTTAGAATTTAGATGCCACATGGAATGTTAAGAGAGAAAGAAAAATTAGAAGAAAATATTTACAACTTGAATAACAGGGGGGAAAAGAGCAAATATAAAGCATGCCTGCAAATCAGTAAGAAAAAGGTAAACTGCTCTAAGGGAGTTAAGACCTTTACTCTACCCTCTTAGGTTCTGTGGCTGGACCTGAGAATTAAACTGACGAAAGAAAGATTAATAAGAGAATATTATACAAATTTTATTTGATGTTAACATTTTTCCATGTATACAGATGCTTTCTTTTATAAGAAATTAACTCACAGCAGTAGAATAAGCCTGAGAGTTTATATACCATTTATCAAAGAGTGATACATTGTGAAGGTGTGCTAAGATAAAGGAAAGGGGAATTTTAGCTATGGGAAGTATATTGTGGGAAAATGAATAGAAAATACATGGGAAAACACAAGAGAAGAGAAGGGTTGTTTAGTAGGCATATGAAGTTTTTTAGAGGAAAATCACCCAATAGTATTTATATACAAATTACAGGAGGAATTTATTTGATTATGTAAGAGGTTTACATGATTAGAAGCTGCAAAGTTTCATAGTGGCCATCTGCGGGTTGGAGAAAAGGAAAAAGCTGGTACTAGCCAGTAACTGCCTCGACCCAGAGGCTGGAAGCTTCAAAACAAGAGGGACCAATGATGCAGTCCCAATCCAAGACTGAAGTACTAGGAGTTCCTTGGAGAGTCACTTGTGCTAGTCTGTATTCAAAGGCTTTAAGAATCAATGGTGGCAGCACCAAAAAACTTTCACTAGCTCAAGAAGAATCAAGTTTGCAAATGCACGTATCTTTGATTTTCTTCTGATTTTCAGTCCATTCAAGTCCCCTGACTATTAAACTGTGGTGCCCACATTCAGGGCGGGTCTTCTTCCACTTAGTTCACTGACCCACATGCCATTTATCTCCAGAAACACCCTCACAGACACTGCTTTATCAGTTTTTCAGACATCTGTCAATTCAGACAAGTTGACAACCAAGATTAACTATCATGGCAGGTTTGTACAGATTTGACTTAGTATTGACTCCTTTTATCAGTGACAAGAATGTTCTCCTGGTTTGGGGATGGAGGGCACCTCTTTCCTTGGAAAATGTGTGCTTTTAGGAACAAAAAGGAAAGATCAGAGAGGCCTTCCTGCATTTACTTTTTTTTCAATTACCTTCACCTCAAAGTAATCCACATGCYAAAGTGGCATGTTCTTATCTCCTTCCCTGCTTATAAAAAAATGGATAAATTATATGAACAGATTATTTTACAAGGAGACACAATGGGCAAACATAAAATGATCCAGAACTTCACTATTAATTGGGGAAATATAAATTAAAATAATGAAATTATTTAACTAGATTTGAAAGTTTTGGCAATACAGAGTATTGGTAAGGGTAAGCGGATATTTCACTTTGTACTAYTGGCATTATGAACTGCTCCAGCCAGTTTGGAGGAGTAAATGGAGTATATTTGGCATATTTGGTCTTTGTGGTAAGAATGGTAGTCTGAGCTGGGCATGATGACACATGCTTTTAATCCCAGCTACTGGGGAGGATGAGGCAGGAGGATTGCATGTTTGAGACTAGCCTGGGCAATTTAGTGAGACCCTGTATCAAAATAAGATCAACAAGGCTGGGGGGTGTAGCTTGCTGGAGTAAAGTGCTTACCTAGTGTGTGTTAGCCCCTGAGTTCAATGCCCAATGTTAAAAAAAAAAAAAAGGTTGAATATACACACCTTTTCCTCTATTCTTTTGTGTAACTCTTAATCAAATGACAGAAAAGCCTTTTTTTTTAATGGCATAAATTCAGAGAAGCAAGAATGGTAAAGGAGACAACAGCGACAACATTTTGAATTCTCAAAAGCTGGTGGGTGAATGAAAACTGATTTGGCTAACCCAAAAAAGCTTAAAACTAGGCCAGGAAAGTGATCTTACAGTGGCAACCCCCCTTAAAAGACTTAAGAGATACTAGACAACTCTAGGGGTGAGGGTAAAGGGTTTTATTTAATTCAAATTCTGTGTTTGATTTAGACTTCCAGATTCCTTCCTAACTCTTCACTGGTGTGCAATTTCCTCTTCCCTACCTCAGGGAATTTGATTTAGACTGTGTGTGTGTGTGTGTGTGTGTGATGCTAAGGATGGAACCCAGGATCTTGTGCATGTGAAGCAAGCACTCTACCAACTGAGCTATATTCCTAGCACTTTGATTTAGATTTATCATGAAGTAAAGCAATCTATATTTTTAGGATCTTGCCCTTGCATGAACCCCTTCCAAAATCCTGGATGGAGCCTGAGATATGAGTTCAGATGTTTTGTTTAATTTGTATAAATACATTATTTTCAAATTCTGTCTCTCAAAACCTCCAAATTGTATAATCTTTAGGCCCCACAAAACTGGGGTCTGCCCCTGACTAGAGGATTATTATGTAGGAGGATAAAGCTGAGTATCCTGTGTTAGTTAACTTTCTGTTACTGTAAGAAATAGCCAACATATCAGCTTATGAAGAGGACAGGTTTATTTTGGCTCACAGTTTTGGAAATGTTAGTCCATGACCAGTTGATCCTGTAGCTTTGGGCCTGTGGTGGCATAGGCCACCCACCTCATGATGGGAGAGCACCATGAAGGAGACCCATTCAACTTGTCTCTGAAAAGAGAGAGAGAAAGAGATTGGCATCCCCACAGCAAAGGACAGCTAAGTTAACACAGTAAACTTCAGGGTCATTTGATGTTACTGTCAGTGAGTTACAAGGGAAAAGTTGTCAAATGAGAAGACATTCAACTTTCCTTAGGTTAAATTTTTATGTGCTTCATGGGAATTTCCTAGAGTTGTCAATGTTTTGGTTTTCCATTGTAAGTGTTAGCTTCAGGTAAAACACTATTGTAAATGACTAAAATATATTCTTTTGACTTCTGTATTTGCTAGAAGCCTGGCAGTGTTCTCCTTAATAATATCAGGTCATACTATATTATCATTAGTCATAATTTTAGTTATTTAAAAAAATGTTCGCTTGCCACAATATTATCTGAAACTAGCACTTATTATGGAGTTTTATATAAATACAGATGTCCATGATCAATACCAGACAAACTAAATTTCTTAATATTCTTGGTATATTTTTTTACATACTCTGTATATCATTCTGCAGGATGATTATATATGTCTTAAGATTCTGTCCTTTATAAAAGAATGTTTATCTACATATTTTGGATTAAAGATAACATTCACTAACTTTTTTGAAAATAATATTAATCACTGTCCCTAAATACATTTGTGCCTCTTTAAAAACTGGCTTTATTGTTTTGTTTTGCATAGTAAAGAAACAACCAAATTTCATTATCAGTTTCACTAATATTAGGAGCTTCTGTCAGACACTTTATGTTGGAAATTTTTCTGTAATAGATTAGCCACAACCATTTAAAGCCTCTGTCATCCATGGAAGGTTTTGTTTTACTCTGATACTTTCCTAACCCGGAGGTACAATTAACTGCATATCAGAGTTTGTCTTTAACAAAAAAGAATCAAGCCAGGTGTGGTATACACTTATAATCCCAGCAATTTGGGAGGGTGAGGCAGGAGGATTGCATGTTTCAGACCAGCCTTAGCAATTAAGTGAGGTCCCATGCAACTTAGGGAGACCCTGTCTCAAAATAAAAAATAGGAAGGCCTGGGGATGTGGCTCAATGGTAAAACACCCCTGATTCAATCCCTGATATAAAGAA